GCTCTAGATCAAATTCTAGAGATTGGGAGAGTGCGATTCTCCTCTCGAATAGAGGATCCTTGTATCTTTGCTATTTTCCTTGCATCTATTAGTAAAATACAAGTCTTTTTCTCCACGTTTTCTGCAGTTTTTTTCTCTGTTTTCCCTTAGTTTTGGGCTGTTTTCCTGCTGTGGACAGCAGTTGTTCTTGAGATTTGTTTCCAAAGTGATTAGGAAATACTTGAAATCAAGTATTTCCTATCAAATTCCCACCCTAAAAAATTTAAAATACTATGGTATTTGCACAATTGCCCCAATATAATTAAACACATTGTGTAGAGATGTTATTGTTAGGGAACGATGAACAACGCCGACCCCCGACATATCTGTGAAGCGTACAACGATGAACAAATAGGGGTCGAGAGGCAGCGCCCTCGGAACAAATTTTGATCTGAATAAATGCTCTCAATTGTGGGATTTCTATCCTCCCATATATTGCTCTCTAAATGGTTGAAAATGAAATATTTCTCTCCTTAAACTAATAACTCTGGCATGGTATCCCCCCTTTTGGAAGGATACTAAACAACTTGCTTTTAGTTTGTAAAAATATACACTACTCTATATCAGATGGCAGTAGATTTTCTCTTTTTGTGGGACCCTAATGCAATGGAAAACCCTTGTTGGATCTTTTTGTAAATGCAATTTTTAATCTTCTTCCTTTTTCTCCCCAATTTCCCCACTCAACTCCCTCATGTCGAATGACACCTCTCTATAATTGCTACTATCAATATACATGATACTATATCTGTTATCCCAATCTCATGGAAAGAAAAGTCTTACCTTCAAGGATTTTATTAGGACTCATTAAGGGAAATCTAATGAGTTTAATTGGTACTTATTTATTTGACATAAATTTTATGCTATTAGATACTCTTCTTTTGCTTGGTTGTGCTTGGCTGGCGGGGTGTAAAATAGCCAATGTGATTTGTGCTCGTAATCTAGATATTCATAGATTAAGTTTAATATACTTATTGCTTACCAAGTTACCGTGGGCGGTTAGTTTCCTATTCCGTCCCAACCTTTAAATATTTAATCATAGAAATGATTTAGAACATAGCTCATCTTGGTCTGTTGGTTGAGAGCTCTCACTACCAACCAAAGGTCTTAAGTTCGAGTCTTGCATGCGTATGTGATGTGTATATGAGTTTGTCTTAATTGACCTAAATGTCCCAAAATAAAGACTTAGAGGCTGTTGTTACTACTGTCAAATGCCTTTCTCCACTTGCTGCTTGATCTATTTATTTGGCGTGACAGAAACGAGTGACTTTTTGGCAAAACAACTTCATGTTCTACATTACTATTCAACTGAAAATCAAGAAAGAAATAGAAAAAGTTTGCAACTGGACATTTATTGCTATAGTATGCTCTACGATGGACTTCACTGTTTCAATGGATGCATGTCTCTCGGTTTGGTTACTCTTGATGGGTTCTTTGATTATTTGTTGGGCCCAAATAATGATGAATAAACATTTCCCAATATAGCAAATGCTTTTCTAATATTACTTACCCTCACTCACGTTAATGGCCTCTTGGCAACAAAGCCCTACTTGGGGTCTTGGTTGGGTACCCATTGGGTACCCACACTCTACACGGGCGAGCTTTGCCCACCCACGCCCATTCATGATGACTTTCGGGATGTTGTACCCACCCACCCACTTTCCACCCTTTTTAAACGCAATCCGCCACGGAGTGATGACCTTGAGGCTTATTGCCCTTTGCTTTGGCTGCAAACTTTCAAGCCGCATATTAAAATTTATCGTGGTCGCAACGCGGTTCAGTAATGCAAACTGCATAGTGAGGATTGTGGATATGGATCAGCAATGTAAATCAATTTATCCCCCGATATTGAGTACCCACTCATATTCACCCACAAGGCCTTGGGCGTATCCATACCCACCCATGAATGGCTATGTGGGTGGGTGTGGGTATGGAAACCCAATGTAGGACTCTGCCCGGCAACCGTGGGCGTTGGTTTTCTCATCTCGCAGCTCCTTTTCATTGTAAAAAAACAAGCTTAGATTTAATCTTTTTTAAAACATAAATATTTAAATGTTAGCAATGATCAACGGGATGGAGTAAACAAATAGCAGCTTGTTCTCTTCTTCACAAAACCATTCTTGATGCACAGTAAAAGTCTACTAAAAAAGTACTCTTCAAACATTATATTCAATGGAAAAAAAAAAAAAAAACATTCCTTCCAGCCTTTTAAACCACAAATCGAGAAAGAAACTGCCAGATTAATTTGTCAACCACATGAACCCATACTGGGCCCAACATGCTAGACTATAATATAACTTGCAGATAATCCATTAAGGAAATTAACTTCCCTTGAAGAAGATATTAGTAGAAAAAATAAGTAGAAAAACAAACTAAAGAAGATACTTATAAGAAACATTAATGGACATATAAGAAGGGAAAACCTTTTCAGAACACCTAATCCTCTGCTGCCAACCACAAGGCAGTCAAGCTTAAGATCCTCAACCGCATCACAGAGCTTCTCCCTTGGATCACCCCAATAGATCTTGCAAACAACCTTCACCTGCTCATCGCCAAAAAATTAATAGATTCCTTATTTATGTGCATGAAGAAAATAATTATATATAAATTATTAATAAAGTGTAACACAGAGAGAGCTTTTTACCTTCATTGTCCTGGAAGTAGAATCGAGGAGGTCGAGGATCTCAGGGTCTGGATTGATACCATACAGCTTGGGCAGATTCATCTCCCTGAGTTCCTCCATTGGAATCAGTGCTGCAAAGTCATTAACAAATCAGAACTTCACTTGAAATAATTTGGAAGAATGAAAGATAATTAATTTGGTGATTTTAAGATCAACGAACGGGATCCGGTGTTCCCCCAGAGCTTTTTCTGGGGTGTCTCGGCCTTGCTGGAATGAACGTGGATGGCGATGATCGTGTCGCCGTCCTGGACGAGGTTCTCGACCGCCCACCGCACCGCCGCCCGGCTCGTCGCCGAAAAGTCCATCCCCACCCCCACCCTTCGCCTCTCTCCCATCTCTCTCTCTTTCGATATCTACCTTTCTCCTTATTCTGTACTGGTTTTCTG